CATAACCAATTGACACGTAACGCTTAATTGTGTTGGAGGCGTGGTCGAGTCTGCAAAAAGCTCATGTTTGATAAATTCGAACAAAGTCTCGAGTTCAAACCCACTGGCAGATAAATCTCTATCCCCTCCAACACTAATAATTAAGAACGAAGAAGAAGACTCACGGACATTCTACTGTCTTGAACCCGGATTTGAACTCGATAATTCGGGTTAGCAGTCTAGCTCTCTACCGCTAGGCCACGCCGCTGTTGAATTATGTATTTTCCGATGCTTTCAATTCATGACAACCAACCCCCATCTCATTCTGTTACTACTGATCAATAAAAAACCCAGAGCGCAATACAATCCTATTTGCGTGATCGCTGATTGGCAATAAATGACGATTTATTTTATAGCCATCATTTAATCCTGTTGTTTCCTTTCCATTTATTTTCGGAAACCGTATTTGTTAGATTCAGCTGATGGTTTTAGATGTGCCAAGCTGCCATTAATAGTGAATGTTTACTTTAGTTTGAAGTTAACAGAGTTCCAATATAGTTTGCTTTATCTAGCATCAATCGCCTGTCTTTCTACATGTACAACATGCTATTGTATGTATAAATCTAAAAAAATTAGTCATCTATAGGTATGAAAGATCATCTTTTTCCACTCTTGTCCAAGACACATGGGGCAGAAGAAGTAGAGTTCATCTGTTCCAGTGACCTCGGTATATGAAGGGATAATGTTCTCAGCACTATGCCCAGCCGTCTTTGTTTTCCCTATCGTCAGTTTAGTTACTACCAGAGAAGGGTGAACTCATTGACGCTCTACTGATTTGGACCCGGATTCGAACTTAAGCCTTTCGGGTTAGCAATCTAACTCTCTGCCGCTAGGCCACGCCTTCCCATAGTGTGTAAAATACTGTGTGTAAATAACTAAAAAGTAAACAGTGCTCACTTTTAGTTTATCAACACGGTGAGCGAGAGTTCCCACAACTGACGTGTCAATAATAGCCTGCAGTAACGACCAATTTAGATGGAGGAAGTGTCGTCAGAAATTTGAGTTGGGTTGAACACTGTGACTGGGTGAACGCGGGAAATAGGCAGTTTACGACTGCTTCGTGTGGCAGGTTAAAGAAAAATTCGCTGCACGAATCGATTTATAAAATGTGTTAGTTGTAAAAGATCAGAGCATACCAAAACAGCGTAGCTCATGTTTAGTGGAAATCTCAGTAAAAATAAATAATAAAAATTAAAATTCAGATTTCTGGCTTTTGTTATTTTTAGGTAAAAAATAAAATGTCGAACTCGATTTAATTGCATGCTTTTAATGGGACGGTGTGGCTGATCGGTAGAGCGCTTGACTGCTAACACAACAGTCTCGATTTCGGATCCCGGGCTCGAGTTTGTAGGTCGTCAGTGACACATTGGGGAAACAAAGGCGGCTGGGCATAGTGCTGACAATGTCAATGAAACAGATGAACTCTACTTCATTTGCCCCATGTGCCTGTGAAGGTGATGACATAATTTAACTGAACAAATTGAACCATTGGCGTTTTTTTTATCCATAAACACGATTTAAATGTATATCTTTTTTTAAATCTTGATTTAGTTGAAAGTTTTTGGCCCAAGTAAAGCAATTGGCCCTTGTGAAGAATTTTGTACCTCGATAACGTTTTTTTTTTGGTCCCGTTTAGATATTGTACAGACCATGGTAAAGGCTGAACATCGATTTTTATTTATATCTTATTACTGTAATGTTTCATGACAGCCTGTCATTGAATATTCACACGACGATAGTGATACCCAGATATCCAATGTGAATACATCACAGCATCCCTGGCTAGAGATAAAAAGCAATTCCTATCTCATTGTATATACAAAGTGATGAATTGATCTTGTAATTTAATAGACCTAGATTCTGTTTTTTTTTATTTTATTTTTAATAGTGTTGCTGAGTTCTGCTCTGATCTCCTTTGACATGCCCTGCTCTGCTCTATACTGCTCTGCTCTCTTCTGCCCTATTCTGCTCTGTCCTATTGTGTTCTGTTCTGTTCTCCCCTCCTTTGCCATGCCTTGCTCTGCTCTGTTCAGCTCTTCTCTGTTTTGTTCTATACTGTTCTGTTCTGCTCTATTTTGGTCTGATCTGTTCTATAATGTTGTGTTCTGTTCTGCTTTCCACTGTTCTGTTCTGATCTGTTCCTTTCTGCTCTGCTTAATAGACATTGCTATAAGCTGTAACTAAACCACACCCTTACGACCAGACAGTGCTTTAAGCTCTACGTTATCATAAATATTGTTTCCCCTTTATCTTTCTGAAAAGTTTACATTTTATCGTGACATATTAAAAAACGAGTTTATCTGAAACCAAATCGTTAATAACAAAAAAAATGTAGGGCATCAATCCAGTTGTGTTTTTAAAATTCTGCCAGCCTCGGCAAATTAAAACAAACGATTCTTTGACGTGTGAGAAGGTGCCTCTCTCCTAATCCGGACGTCTAAGAGAAGCTGGTTTAGCCATAAGTCAGAGCGCCATTAAAAATGAAATTTTTTTTGGTCACATATTTCTTGAGTCCATGACTACACATACTGGAGAAGGGGGGCGTCTTAATCTTTAGACTACGTGTTACGGTTGTGTAAGGAAGCGGTGAGATGGAACTAATACATTTGACGTAGCATATGTTTGCATAATATACATGAAAATAACATGCGACCTATTAGAATTTGTTAGTTTAGGGATGAGGTGGAGACGGGATAAACTTTGTAACGTCATTTTACAGGGCGAGGGAGTGGGATGTGGGGGGAGGGGGGGTCTGGATTGTTGTGGTGTCATATAACTATAACAAGAGGTGATGAACATCACTACTTGTGGTTGAGGGGAAGAGCTAGATAGGACCCCCGTGCTGATGAGGCTCTTTACTCGGTGACAGCAGCACATCTAGGATATAAAACTCTTAAGTCAAATAACTGCTGCCTTGTAGTTTGTTCTTGGGTGGACAAAGACTGTGGAATCTAATCCAGAATGAAAAGCAGGCTTAGTTGGGGAGTCAGCAGGTCACACGTCGCATGCCGAGTTGACTTGTTGGATGGTATTCCCAGCAATTTTACACTAAAGAACAAAAAAAAAAAAGAAGTACCTCCAGACCAGATATTTTAACTGAACACATCGTCAGTGTTCTTGTCGTATGCGGCTCACACGCTCGCAGTCCGGAAACCAGCTCAGGTGTTCTGTCAGATTTTATCCTACCCCCCCCCCCCCCCCCACTCCATCACTCGTATGTCAACAGCTAATTACGTTAATGAGGGCTGACGAAAAGACAGATCAAATGAGCCTTCACATTGTGACAGCCACTGGGCTAGGTGATACTTACGTTGGTGACTTGACCCTTGTGTTAACAGCTAACAAAAAAAAAAACACGTCACAGCTAGGCTGTACACAAAAGAAGTCGTTTTACGTTGTAGCTAGCAGAATGACAAAACAGGAACACAATTTGATGGTGTCAAATTGGGGGAGAAGGAGGTGGGGCGTTCTAGATTTGTATTGCGAAGTGGAGTAATTGGCAGAGAAATGAAGAGTGTTAATACCACTGTTATCCAGGCAATACGCACTGAGTGGTTTTTTCAAACTCAACTCAACCCTTTACAATAAAATAAAAAAAAAAAAATATCGTATTAAAAAGGAAGCACTGTTGGAATTGTAAATTCACATCGCATTTTTTTATTTTTATTTTTTAAAGATTTTTTGAAAGATTTTTTTTTTTTTTTTTTGAAAGATTGTACGCAGATCTTTTGATCCCCAGAACGTGGTTTGAAAAACAATATCAGACACAGTTCCATTATAATCTTTAAAAGTGAAAAAAAAATCAGCCTATTTGAGTATTTGACAGATACAAAATAAACCCATATGCGACGTTGCCTGCTTATGAGAACGCCAAGAACGGCTCTAATCAATTCCACGTCACACAAATTGAATTTCTGGAAGGACACGTTCGGATAGGTCCTCTGGTAAACCCCGGGGATAGTTTTTAATGCGGAGTTGTTTTATCGTTGGCGGGTAGCGCCCCTTTCCTTAAAAGTTCGATTCGCTGGCTTATTCTAGCCTCGATTAGCTTTGTTGTTTTTTTAAGGACTTGTGTAGGAGGGGAAGGAATGGGTTGGAGTGAGAACTGTTCTTTTCTTTTCTCATTTTTTAAAAATATAGCTCGTGGAGATAAACAGTCTAAACAACATTTTAGTAGCAGGTTGTTAGAGAACTCAAATAATTAGATTGCCTCCCTTTAGTATAGTGTTATTATTTAGTAAAATCAAGTCATAGTTTATCTAAGTCGCAGCCAGCTAGTCTGGGCGGTAAAGGCGTAAAGCTACATCCAGTTATCAACAACGGCTTGATTTTTTTCCTTGCTCAAAGACATTAGACAACGATTGGATAGCCTGGTGGTTTTGAAAAAGTACGGCTGTCAGTAAAAGTGTTTCTTCCAGACTTTTTTTTAGCTCCCCCCCCCCCCCCCAAGAGATGCCTGGAAAAAACACTGGTCAGCAATACAACTGTGACGTAGGCCTATATCCTACTCACGTTGTTGTAGATTATGTAGAGCATGTAGATGAAGAAGTTGTGTGCTAGTCCTGCAAAAATAGCGATCCCATGTTAAAAATAAATTTAAATATTAACTTATTAAGAGTCTAAGCATTCGAAAATGAACTGCAGTATATTTTTTAGAAACGAAATCATCATCTTTTTAGGCCCTCCCCCATGGACTACACATTTCATTACTCTAAAAGATCGGTAGGCCTATATTTGTATGCTAACTAAACACACTTTGCTGATTCCAAGCTGTACAGGTAAGGCCCTGTTCCTTGGGTCCTTCAGCTGTGTGGAGAGAGGGGGACCTCATACATAGGCAACATCTTTCTCTTTTCAACTTAGGGCCCAGGCTTTGTACTTGGATTCCCAATGCACAATCATCCAATGATCTATTAGACTACATAGCTAATTTTTACTTAAACATACCTTTGCATTGCCAGATTACTCCATCTTGGTACTGATTGAGACAGGCAGATTGTCAAATACAGATACCTACCAGGTAGCTTTGTGATTACCTTTTTTTATCATCTCCTTGTCGTTTGAGATAATGTAGGTCTTCTCATCTTTACCTATATACCATAAGTCATAAAAATAGTTTAGCTTACTATTGCTGTACTGTCTACTGGTGTTTTATAAAAAAAAATTGGTTTCTCTCTCCAGGACATGGTGCTAGTGGCATTTGGTAGACCTGGCTTCTATGTCCTCACAGTCCTACAGTTCTTGTACCCTTTCATTGGTACTTTTTCTCATTAACACTCTAGTCATATAATTAAGCTGCTATACTTATTAGTCATTAAAACTAGGGATATGATTAAGTTCCTATATTTATCAGTCATTATAACTATTGATATACCTAAGCTCCTATTGACACTCTATTGGTATAACTACAGAGGCATAGCGACCCCTCCCGATGCCGGGGGACAAACTTTCAATTTGGTGCCCCCCCTCTCCATATATTTTTTATATTTATAATTCAAAACTGCAGCTAAAATGAGCTGTTAATTTTTTTTCAACTTATTTTAGTGCCCCTAGGGTCGGGGCTCGGGGACATATGTACCTCCCCCGCCCACCCATCGCTACACCCCTGTATAACTAAATTTCTATACTTGTCAGTCATTAACACTCTAGAGGAATACCAAAGCTCCTATACTTATCATTCATTAACACTCTAGTAATATAACTAAGCTCCTATATGTATCAATCATTAAAACTAGGAATATAACTAAGCTCCTATACTTGGTCAGTATGGCCTACATACTTTACGAGCATCAATTCTGCTTTAAGCTACACAACAAATTATTTTGTCAGTAGATTAGAACTTTAAATATTTCTTCACCCTTTATTAAGACTTTTGATTCATTGCCCACATGGTTTTTATTCTAAGATTTTTTGACACATTATGTATTACTTTTTAAACAAAGAACATACATTTATTAAAAGTAATTATTTTCTGTCTGCAACTTTTTATTCCAGCTATGATTAGCTACAATGTTGTCATTGGGGACACAATCACCAAATTTATTGCTTGGCTGGGTGGTGAAAGTAAGTGTCACATAATTATTAATTAATTACTGACTCTTTCACAACTTAACTGATGGAATTATATCCTACAAAATAGACTACTGTAAAGCCTGCATAGCACAAGCATGTTCCTACTTAACATTTCTCAATTACATTTTCTAAAAACAAAACATATTGTTATTGAATGACAATATGAAGCTGTAATTTCATGCCTGTAAGTACACACATATGAAGCCAATCAGGCACATAGCAAGGTTTACTGGACAAGGAGAGCAGAAAGTATAACAATGCACAACTTTTTGTTTCATTATCAAATATCGACCAATGTTTTTTTCAACGCTAGTTGATTCTCTTGAAAACTTGATAAATCTATGCAAAAAAAACAAAACAAAAATAAAATTAAATCTATAAAAAGAAGCATCTTAAATAAAAATGTTATATTTCTTCTCCACTGAGGTTAATATTGATGATATGCCTTCCATTCTCCTATTTATACAATTTCATTAATGTACTAGCTAATCCACTGAGGTTAATATTTATGATATTATTCTCCATTCTCCTATTTATATAATTTCATTAATGTACAAGCTAATCCAATGAGATTAATATTTATGATATACCTGCCATTCTCCTAGTTATACAATTTCATTAATGTACAAGCTAATCCAATGAGGTTAATATTTATGGTATGCCTACCATTTTCCTATTTATATAATTTCATTAATGTACAAGCTAATCCAATGAGGTTAATATTTATGGTATGCCTACCATTTTCCTAGTTATACAATTTCATTAATGTACAAGCTAATCCAATGAGGTTAATATTTATGGTATGCCTACCATTTTCCTATTTATATAATTTCATTAATGTACAAGCTAATCCAATGAGGTTAATATTTATGGTATGCCTACCATTTTCCTAGTTATACAATTTCATTAATGTACAAGCTAATCCAATGAGGTTAATATTTATGGTATGCCTACCATTTTCCTATTTATATAATTTCATTAATGTACAAGCTAATCCAATGAGGTTAATATTTATGGTATGCCTACCATTTTCCTAGTTATACAATTTCATTAATGTACAAGCTAATCCAATGAGGTTAATATTTATGATATACCTGCCATTTTCCTAGTTATACAATTTCATTAATGTACAAGCTAATCCAATGAGGTTAATATTTATGATATACCTGCCATTTTCCTAGTTATACAATTTCATTAATGTCTGTAATTTCAGATCCAACATTAGTGCATTCTGTATTGGGAAATAGACAGTTCATCATAACAGTGATTACACTGCTTGTTACCTTGCCTCTGTCCCTTTACAAAAACATAGTCATGCTTGGGAAGGTAAGGGAAGCTACTCAAAATGTCAGATACTCTCACTCTGATAAAAGAATTTTGTAAAGCTCATTGTTTATATAACATTATAACATGTACAACTAAATAGAAACTTAAATTAATAATCATCAAGTAAACACATATTAATTTGTACAGTAGCACTAAATGAAGTGCATAGATGACTGCTTTGTACATTGTATGTATTAAAATTGAATTTTTTTTTTTAATGTTTATAATTTAGTGAAGTATTAATTTTTTTTCAGTGGGCTTTTCTCTCTATTCTTCTCATTCTTTTCATCATGGTTGCTGTGATTGTCAGGCTGAGTACTTTTATTGGGACAATGTAAGTTTTAAAATCATGTTAAAAATAAGTAAAAAAAAAAATTTAAAATAAGTAAAATTGGAAAATTTAAATTGGAAATAAAATAATTATATTGATAAAAAAAAATAAATAAATTAAAAGGCCAATCCTATAAGTATAATTCTACTTAGAATAACCTACATGATTATAGATGGATACAATCATCTACTTAATGAACTGTAATAAGGCATTAGATATAATTCAGTGTACACTGTTAACGGTTAGTTAAACTACCAACAAGCAAACATTATAAAATCACAGCTCACTGGAAAGATTGTATTAGAAAATTATTTAAACTTAATTTAATTAAGACTATTTTATCAAATTATAAGATGATTAGTTATTTTAACCTTGGATGATTTATATTCTTTAATTAATTCCTCAATTGAACTACAAACAAACTAAACTATTTTGCTAAACCATTGCATAAATGTAAATAGTATAAGTCTATCTGTTACGGACTATCTGGGATGATTATATTTTAAATTAAATTGATTCCACATTGGGATGAAAAAGTAACTTAACTTTTTTGTTCAAACATTTCATTTCATTAACGTAAACACTGATAGTCTATCTGTTACACAGATACATCTGTCATACAGCCCATCTGAGATGATTAAATTTTTGAATTAAATTGATTACACATCGGTACCACAAAGACAATTAACCATTTAGCTCAACCATTTCATAAATGTAAACCATGAAATTCTATCTGTTACAGACAACCATGGATGATTTAAATTTTTCAAATTGATTTCACATTGGTACCACAAAGACACTTAACCATTTTGCTCAACCAATTCATACATGTAAACACTGAAAGTCTATCTATTCCAGCCCACCCACAGAAGATGCGTGGCAGTTTGCAAACTACAATGTCTCTCAAGCTGTTGGCATCATGGCTTTTGGTGAGATCATCTCATAATTATTTTAAAGTTTCACAAAGATCATTACTGAGTCCATTTATTTTTGTTAGTAAAATCTTTACTTAGTCAATTGAAAGATGTTTAGCAATTTTTGTTTTACAGAATCCATCAAAATCCTAAAACCCTTATTCAATCCATTGTAACACTAGAATCTTTACATAGTTAATTCCAATAAGATCGCTAATTAATCGAATCAAAGTAGCAGTAAGTAGGGTATTTACTTTATTCATTGCAACAGTATGATCCTTAAATAGTAAATTCACTGTAATAGTAAGATTCTTACTTTTAGCTTATTCACAGTTGTAAAATTCTGAGTTTATTTATTGTGTCTGAGTTAAATCATGGTTTCATTAACTATTTTATTTAATTCCTGTTTAGTAGTTAACTAGATTTTTATTTCTAACACATAAATCATTATTTTTCTTTAATTGTCTGTTTACATAATCATCATTATAGTGCCTGTGGCACTGCAACACATTTTTAATTCATTACATTATTGCCCAATAACAATTCACATCCCTGCATATGTCATGACATGTATTTTTATAATTTAAATGATTTCCTAATCCATCTTCCTACTTTTTCATTTTCTACAGCCTGTACATCTCGTCACAATCATTTTTGATGCAATATAATATAGCTTAATCATGCTCTCATTTTTTCTTTTTATCACAGCGTACATGTGTCCTACATTTATTTTTTATTTAATAAAATTAATTTGCAATCACTCTCCTAATTTTTGTTTTTTATTACTAACTATTTATATTTCCTACATGTATTTTTTATTTAATTACATTGTTTTGTAATCACTCCCCCAATTTTTGTTTTTATTACAGCCTATATGTGCCACCACAACACATTTTTGATCCATTCCTCACTGGAGAACCCAACCAAGAAGCGCTGGGGGTTTGTCACACATTTTAGTGTCTTATTTGCTATGGTCATGTTACTGATACTTGGTATCACAGGCTACGCCTCCTTCACTGGACTCACTGAAGGTGAGATGAAAAAAGTGAACTTTTTATGTGGCTGCTTTTTTTGCATCTAAATATAAAGGATCCCTCTCTTAATCTATTTAGTGTTACATTAACCACACATCTTCAAAATTTACTTAATTCATTTTTAATATGTCAAGCATTGATGTGATCTGGAGTATTTGTGAAAAAAATTAATTGGCTAAGTTAGACTTTTTTAGTGTGTGTCCTATTTTAAAATTAACTTAAAATTCTAAAATCTCACTTTGGTACAGTTGCATATAGCACATTATTTTGTTGTAATGTAGTAATGTCTCTTGTAGCCCATTCAAATATTATTTTTACCTCTAATATGTAGGCCTATAAAAATGTTATCCCTAATTTATGAAATTTTGAAAAAAAGTAGATTAAAAACCTCATTGATAGAGACCAGAAAACTCCTGTTAGCAAATTTTATTGTAATTCCCCTTTTATTGCATTACACCCAGATGTGATTATTTTTATGAAGAACATTGTTTTAACCAAAATCAACAGGTGATCTACTGGAAAATTATTGCCGAGATGACATATTGATGAATATCTCTCGAATCTTCTTCGCTATTACAATTATGCTTACATATCCTGTAGAGTGTTTTGTGACAAGGGAGGTAAGTTAAGCAGAGAATTAAAAAAAAATCTTTTATCTACAACGCAAAATATTGTGCCATAAATAATTTAATTATTTGGATTATATTTTTAACATTTGAAAGTTTCACAGTTGCCAAGTGAGTTTGATCATGTTTTTTTGTGTAAAGAAATTAATTTTTTATTTTAACTATCTTAAAATGATGTGTCATGATTGCAAATTTTTAACATGCTGTTACTTGTGTTTACAAAGTTACAGTTGTAAATAAAAGTTTCCAAAATTATAAAGCTGTGCCATCCCTGTATACTAGTTTTAACAAAGTGTCATGTTGTATCTGCAGGTAGTTGAAACTGCTATTTTCCCATCCAATCCCGAACCACCCATGTGGCGCCATGTCACTGTCACGGTGGTGATTGTCACCCTTGTGGGTGCTGTTTCCATGGCAACTGATTGTTTGGGGACGGTCTTAGAACTTAATGTAAGTTTTAAGCTTGAGTTAAATATTTATCATTTGTTAACTATCAACTCAAAAAAAAAATTCAAATAAATATGACGCTGTTAATTATTTGTAAAGCTTATCATATAAAAACAAACCTTTTTCACTGCAAGTAAATGCATTAATATGTTATTAGCTGCTGACTGCTACCAGTAATTATAAATCTCATGCCATAAAAACAAACATCCTACAGAGAAATGCATTGAAAGTAACTACATTGTTGCGTCTGAATTTTTTATTTTAGGGTGTCTTAGCTGCTGCTCCGTTGGCTTTTATTATCCCTGGGGCCTGCGTCATGAGGTTACGCCAAGATGCCATATTTTCTAAGCGTAACATTCCTGCCATGCTGCTCATGGCTTTTGGTATCATCATAGCTGTCTGTGGATTTGTTATGGCTGTGATAAACATGGCTGAAGGCATAAGTTGCGGGCACGGAAAAGAGCCTAAATATTGCATGATAAATAATGTAACTGACTTGCATATAACCACAATGAGTTACGTTCCAGTTGAAATTGAACCTGAAGAAACGGGGTTAAGATCACTTATAAAGAAATTTGTTTAGGGACTTTTTGTTTCATTTTATTTAAAATTACTTAATTGTAAAATTTATTTTAAATTATTTAAAAAACAGATTAATAGAATACTTATTAACTTTATTATTTGATATAAAGTTTTCAGTTTTTAGACCTCATCTCTCTATAAAAATAAAATCTCTACAATTTCTTGCTACCAAGTGAAAATAATAGAACAATTTTTATTATAGTTTACATTAGGCCTATAATATGGACAGTTTTTACCACATATTAAATTTTAATGAATCTTGTGCTTGATAAAAATTATTTTTAATTGCAATTTATTTTTAACTGATTTATTTATATTTGTAGTGGTTTTTATATTAAAATTTATTTAATTTTCCATTTGAAGAAAGAAATCCTTTATTTTATAAATTATATATTTTAAATTTAAAATACTATAACAAACATTTGTAAAATGTGATGCTAAGTGTGTTTATTACATAATGTTTCAATGCATTTATGAATTTATTATACATTTTATGAAATAAATTATATTTATTGAAGAAAGTACCTTGACAAAATAGATGTTTACGAGCATATAATACATTTGTAAATAATTTTAACTGGATATACACATATAAACAAATTCTAAAAATAAATTCCTGAAGTAATCAGTAGTCATATTAATAAAAAGCTTGCATTTAATATTATAAAAACAAAGTGTTATACAGTTGCTTAAAAATTGAAAAGCTAACTGTCTAAACTGGTAGTTTGCTAATTAGATGGGAAATTGGATACATGCTGTGGAAACCTTATGAGCAGTATTGTAATAAGTTTCAGATATATCTTCCAGTGTGGTATGAGTAGTTTTAAAATTATTGAAGGTATGTGTGAAGTCATTCTATAGGCCTATATTTAATAAATTATAATTATTCTGTAACAGTACAAAAAGTAATGCTTTGTAAATTAACCATATATTTAATTGCTAAAAATAGTACAATATATTCATAGCTACTTAAAACTAGTGCAGATTTGTTACTTAAATGTTTCAAATTTCATTTTGATGTTTTACAATTAAACTATAATTGTACGATATTGAAAAATATTCTATAACATTCATTTCCAATTTGTTAAAATTTAATCAAAGTGATATGTATTATATACATTTGCATTGCAAAATAATTATTTTAATTTATTTTGAATCAAAAATGGTAATTATACTTTAGAAATATACAGTTAGTTCTAATGTTGTCTTACAGCTGAGATTCAAAACATTTCTAAAGAAACAAAAAAAGGAAGTAATACCCAGTAGCGTAGCGAGGGGGGGGGACATATGTCCCCGGGCGCCGATCTTAGGGGGGGGCGCCAAATTGAAAGTTTGAGGGGGGGGTGCAAATGAAAATTTCGAGGGGGGGGGGGTGCAAATCGAAAATTTGCTCTCGAGGGGGCGCCAAATTGGAAGTATGTCCCCGGGCGCCGGGAAGGGTCGCTACGCCTCTGGTAATACCTTCATAAACATCAGAAGATGTTATCATTTTTATTGAATCTATCTAAATCATTTAATAATTAAATACAGATAAAATTAAATATTAGGATTGAACAAGCTCCAAATGTTCCATAATGCTGTAAATTGTTACTTTCCTATAACTTCTGACCAACTGGATATTATGAGTTATCATAAATTAAAACACTTCTGGTTTTAACAAAATATGTTTACTAAATTTTCACCTGTCTATTTTAAATGGAGCTATGTTGTTCAAACTGCTGGATAGCTATTTATGTTGGACTGTAGAAAAACCATAATTTTACACATGCACCAAATTGTTATTTGAATGTCATGTGCATTCTCTTTATTTCTATAAAAGAGAAAAAAAAAATTAAACCTACTGATATCCCTGATAACACTACATAAAAAAAACCTTTCTGAATTTAAATATGTTGATGATCATAATAGGCTTTAAAAACCTGATATAATATCTATTTATGAAATAAGATGTGTAAATAACTGATACATTTCTGTGGTATTTTAATGTTTTCCTAATATCTTAGTATGTTGTGAGCATTGAATGTACATGTAAATAAATAAATGGCTCGTTCAATTTATTGACTTCCTGCTGAGTGTTGTAGTTTTATCTGTTTTTTGTATTGTTACGAACTATTGGTTCTTAAATGTATGAGAGGAAAATAAACATATTTGAAAGAACAATTTTCTTACATTTTATATGTATATATATATTTTTTTACAGTTTTGAAGCTAAACAAAATAAGTTTAGGTGAAAGATATTTAGTTACTTAAGTTTTAAAACTTATGCATTTTGAGTCTAGGGATGTTAAGGATGAACAGTTCAGCATATGACTGCAAACTCTAAAGTCTCTAGTTCAGATCCTGGGTTCAAGTCAGCAGGATGTCCTTGTGTCCTTGTAGCTCTGATGGGTACCTGACTCACATTAGGGAAAGTACAGGCAGCTGGGCATAATGCTAACCACACCATTCCATTCATAGCAAGGTCACAAAAATAGAAGCTCTACTTCATCTGCCACATGTTCAAGAGGTTCAAACTGGTAACCTTTTTTTACACCTAGTCCATGCACTGTAAATCTCACTTAGCTAATTGTGTTGTTGATAGCCATGAAATAAGAGAGAGCAACATCAATTGCTATCACACACCAATCCATTTTCAAACAATTGTTTTCTTTCAAGAGAGTTAACACAAGATGGATAGATGGTTTATCCACTTTAAAGTTTTATTATTATTTACGGACAGATGACTATAATAACATATTTCACACTAACCATATCACATTGGGCAATTCAGTCAAAAGGTGCTTCATTTCTGTAACAAACTTTTAGGGTTATTCTTACTATACAGCTACATAATATATATATAAATGGTATAGTTTAGTTTAAAGACTGTAAAAATGACTAAAATACATTACTACTAAAACCTACCCATTCTGAGTCATAGATTGTTTTAAATGAGAAAACCTGGTTTACCTAGCCCCTTGAAATACATCAACAATATAAAAAAAAACAATTTCTTGTAAGACCATCCCTTAAGATGAAAATTACAGCATGCTTCTCAATTCAACAGGTTAAAAAAGGTAGTGGACTTTCACTAGGCTATACAGTACTGGAAACTGCCGTTTTGAAAATGCAGGAATAATAAATCATAGCAAATCTTGAGTATTCGGTGCACCAATTTTAAACAAATTGAGGGAAACTAAACATTTAAAAACCACTTGGTTTACTTTGTCTTTAAAAGCTAGTGTTTGACATTACAGTATGTATTCACTTGTTTTCAGAAAAAGTTCACTTCATTTAGTATTGAAGATGAATCGGTACTGATTTTATCAGCCATATTATTGGTTTAGGAATTTCCGGTTTGATGAATCAATTCTTAAGTGTTTTTATAAAACATTCTTCAGTAAAAAGGGCACATTATCACTATATTCAATGTACAAAACACACCGGTGTTTGCATTAGATCCTGATTCTGATTGGGTTCAAAAAAGTAAACATCTTTATACAAAAGCTTTAATTATTAAAACAACAAATGTACTAGTTTATCTAAACATTAGACATATTAAACTAATATTTTGTCTGATTATTAATAACAGGATAGACATGAGCAGAATTGTAAATAAATATTCAAAACTATAATCATCTAAAATTATTTGGTGACTAATGCTCTGATGAAAAATAAAATTACATTTTGAATTTTCTAAAAACACATACACATGTCCAATTTAGTATGAGTTGCTTTTATTACATCATAACATTGTTTTTTTTTAAAAGCTTAAACAATTGTTGCATGCAAAGCTGAGAAGTATACATAAAAAAAAATTATGTAAAATTGAATTTTCCTATAAACAGTTGATAACCTATAGAGAAGAAATGTACACCTGTTTTCTCTGTAGTAAATTGTTTACACCTCTCCATTCATTTAGTCTTTATTTACAAATTCACATCACTAGTCCAGGACCGTGTCAAGAGGTGTAGGATATAACCTTGGGTTTTTGACTCTTTATGGACTCAGGACCATGTAGCTTTTGAGCTCTTTTAAGGAAGGCGTTCACCATGGTCTTCACTATCTCATCAAAAAATACTGTGGCGAAATGAGAGTGTAGCTGCGACCGAAACTCAAATACAACCTGAAAAAGTTTGTAGGTTACTTTATTTTAAAAAAAATCTAACAAAGGATAAAAAGAAGACATGAAATTAAAAGAATAAAATATTTGTACTTGTAAGAATGTCTATGTCATTGGTATAGAAGTTAATTGTTTTTTTTTTTTGCTAGTAATGCTACCTTAACAATAACATTGTTTTAACATTACTACCAGAAAATGTGAAAAAAAAAAAACAACTTGTTACACATTGCATAGCACTTTGGGATTTTTATAGCAACAAGAATACTTAATTAATTAATTAGAACACATTATTCTAAGACTTACAGAGAAATCAAGGGTACATGTTTTTGGGTTTCCTGACAGTCCAGGACTGAAGCGCCAAACTGTTACTAGCTGTGTGAACAGCTTTCCCTCTGTACATTCTGACTGAAAAATAAAAACAGAAACTTTATTATTTTAAAAATCATTGAACACATTTAACTGCTTTAGGTTGATCTCGCGTGGTAACACTCAATTAAAAATCAAACCATTTTATTTTAGGAAATCAAGTGGAAGATTTATTAAAAAGCATTCATGATAGATGTTTAGAACAGTTTATGTTATCTATCTGTGGTCTGTAGTGGTTAATACTTTACATGGAGCTAAAAACAACCTTAAAAAATATATAAACCTAGTCTATGAGTTCTTGTACATAAATATTACATGAAGTATTTAAAAAAAAAGAAATTAATTTCTAATTAGCTAAACACAATTTTTTTTTTGAGTTTTCCTGCACGAAACTATTTATTTCAGAAAATGTTTTAATACAAGGTTAACAAACTGGTTTTGGCCAAAAAAAAAAAAACCAAAAAACAACAACAATTAAAAAAAATTGTTAATTAAAAATAAATAATAATCCTTCTTTAAACATTAAAAAAGCTACTTACATGGACCAGATTAGGCCGAACAAGCTTTATTGTAGAAATGTATTTTTCCTGCAATGGGGGGAAACCTATTTCCATTCTGGCCTTGCACCCGTTGGGTCTTACATCAAACACAGCGGAGTTTGTGCACCACGGGATGAACTGGTTATAAGAGGCCACATCAGCCACAATGTCATACATGTTCTCCATTGAGTAACTAAATAAAAAAAAATTAAATTAAGTACAGTCAGCAGCAAAGATAAGAATTATAGATAAAAGTATAGATAAGAATCTTAACTCCAAAGATGTTCTTCAATGAGATCATAGACAGAGAAGGTTTTGTTTTGACTGCTGCAATGTTTTGTTTATTGGTGGAGTGGGTGGCTCTGGTTTGATAACAAAATAATGTGAGGTTGCACATATTTTTAAGTAACTAGTGATAAAATAATGATATAAAATGCTACTTTTTAATGTTTGTTTATTTTGAATATGTAGAGTTTTGTAACAGGAGGGGTAGTTGTCTGTCTTTAGAGACAATGAAGTGGGGAAAAAGACAGATATTAAAACATTGAGTGGTATTATTGTTTACACCTTTCTATAACCTAGGAAAACATGTGTTACCCTAAAATCCTCCTCTCTGAGTACTCTTTTCGCTTTGATGCGGTGAGGGGATTCAAATTTGGGAGCTTGAAAAATAACCGGTAACTCTGATGGTAAGGCAGGGAGGTCATCTTTTTCGGGCCACATTTCCTAACTAGCGAAGAGTGAGAGTGAGCTTGGTAAAAATAGCCTAATGACCTGTCATTGAGGATAGAAAATAATGTTAAAACAATAATATGACTTCAATATACAAATAATTATGACAGTATTTAAACCTATGTATATTTTAAAAACTTTAGCAAATCTCTAGATTTTACAAGCTTTTATTTATTTAAAACTTGTGTCGTTATGAGCTGAAATGTACGTGAAAAATTACGAGAATTTCTATTCCAACAATTTCATTAGAACTTGGCTCATAGGTCAGGACCTAATTACGAAGCCATATGATGTAAAATTTGACTTATTTAGATGATCTATTAGAATTAATTACTTTTTCCTAAAAGTACTACATTTTGGCGCTATTATGGTCACATTATTTGTAATAATTTTAAGAGCAATCCTTTTCAGCTAATGAATAAATTCTTGTAAAATAAAAATTATGTCTTATGAACTTTTTAATAACATGCTTTTATATTGCATAACTAAAAAATTTTTCTTTAGGCGAAAATAAATAAAGGATTTTTCATAAGGACTAGGCCTATTTGTATTTGGATCTAGATCTGTTTATTGGATACCTGTACTAAACTTTAGTAAGAAGCCCTCACTAGCGGCACATTATGACAGGCCTTTGTGGGTGCCTTTGATTCAATTAGTTTCTTTTATAAGTTGCATATATATATATATATATATTAACGTGCGGCGTCAATTCGGCCAATGACAAAACGGCCCCGTCAAAAGGGCCAGCGACATATGGACCCCGTCATATAGGCTCCCGTCATTTAGGCTACCGACAAATAGGCTCCCGACAAAAGGGCTCCAGTCAATATGGCTCTCGACAAATAGGCTCCCGTCATTTTGGCTCCTGACATATAGGCTCCCGTCATTTAGTTTTTTCCACAAAACGGCCCCCGTCATTACGACTCCCGACAAATAGGCTCCCGCCATTTAGTTTCTCCACAAAACGGCCCTCGTCATTACGACTCCCGACAAATAGGCTAGCGTCATTTTGGCTCACGACAAAAAGGTTCCTGTTAATTTGGCTCCAGACAAAAGGACCACTGACACAATGGCGTAGCTACCGTAAAGCTAGCGTAAGCAAGGCATAGGGCCCAAGGCATATAGGGGCCCTTTTCCCTCATAAAAAATTAAAACTTTTACTATGGAATTTTAATATTTGTTACACATAAATAATTTTAAAAAAGAAAAAGATTAAAAGTTCCAAAAAGCCCCCCCCCCCCCCCACCGTTTTGGCAGTGAGATTCAGTGTGTGTGTGGGTCAAACAGAGCCCAATCGTTATAATAACACTACAGGCGATATCACTTTGTCGTGCAAGACATTGAGAGAATCAGCCTATAAATAAACTTTTTAGCAGTAGTAGGCAAACATAATAATATAGTATAAATACATAATCAGGACTTATAAAATACAAAATGTTGCCTTCAGAATATTTATATATTAAAAAATATCCATCGTAAGTAGAAGTTGATCTCTTCGTTTAACTCCTCTGTAGCCTAACGCAGAGGCGTAGCGAAGGCGGGGCGGGGGCTGCGGACCGCAACGGGTGACACCATTTAGGGCGGTGACACCAAAGGCAAAAAATTGCAAAATTTATAGAATGAAATGCCATTTTTCCAGATCCATTAGTTAAAGTTAAATAGTCTTCTAAGTACAAATCGAAAATTATAACAAGGGTGGGGGGGGGGGGGGGTACACCATGACGTAAACGTAAACTATAAAGAAAACAATGCTACATCCAACTGTATTATAAACAGACTGTAGATAAACATCGTTACTATTAAGTCTGCAGTGATTAAAGCATAAACACGTACGTGTACCAGTATGTGGCATATATAAAAATTTTATGTGTATGTAGGCCAACACACACACACACACACACACACACACACACACACATATATATATATATATATATATGCTTTGTTTCCTGGGAGGGGGTGACAATACGAAGTGACACCCGACCTAGCGACGCCACTGGTCTAACGGCTGACGAAGGGGCCCACTGATAATTTTTTTTTGCATAGGGGCCCAAAAATCCTAGCTATGCCACTGCACTGACAATACAGTTTCTGCAGAGACTAAGTCTCCCGGCAAAGCGGTCTCATTGAATATAACACCTGCCAGTGGGACCCCTTCATCAATATTCTTTAGAGTTAGCTTATCCAACACTCTTATGTAATATAACGTATGCATCTCTTGTTCGGCAGGCCTTATTTTTATATTAGTTTATCTATTATAAAATATAGTACGTTTTAATTTAAGGGTCATCTATCTATGACATCCAAAATTGAGTCGGTTATAGGCTGTTCCAACTCAGTGTGTGGGGAGAAGGGTCCACGCTGCACCTTCCTACCTGCAGTATGCTTGTAGGTTATCGAAACAAGATGCTGTTATCATGTAAACATCAGGTATATCATACATTTACACTTCTGTGCTTGCTTTTAAGCAACAGATCTTTTCTGTTGTAAATTAAACATTATCAAAACTTTAGAATTGTTGGAATTTAGCTGTTAAGGGCTCGATTTGTTTGTGAATTAATGTTGGTTCATGAAAAACAATTTCATTCTGGCATTTAAAAGAGGTTATATTGGTATTGGAGGTAGGACAAAATGGTTACTTTTATGCCAGTTGTTGTCATGCCATTCATTGGTCTGGAGCCAATATGTCGGGAGTCATTTTGTCAAAAGCCAATATGTCGGGAGCCAATATGTCGGGAGCCCATTTGTCGGTAGCCAATATGTCGTGAGCCCATTTGCCGGGAGCCCATTTGTCTTGAGCCCTTATGTCGGGAGCCAATATGTCGGGAGCCGCTTTGTCGGGAGCCAATATGTCCTGAGCCTATTTGTCAGGGGTTAATATGTCGGGAGTCCATTTGTCGGGAGCCTAAATATCGGGAGCCCATTTGTCGGGAGCCTATATGTCGGCTATTTTGACGGGGTCGGTTTGTCGGGAGTCGATTTGACGGGGTCATACTAACGGGGCCGTTTTGTCTCAGGTCGTTTTGACAGGGCACCATATATTAATAATAGGCCCCTATTTATAATATTGGCGGTAATCTATCGTTTTATGTACGTAAAATCGCCCGCAACTAGTAATGTGAAAAACAGGTGACTCCTTAAATTTTAATAATTATTTCACATTTCGAGGAGGATTTATGTTTTGAAAAATACAAAAATGTTTCCTTGTTTCATTTATGTACATGTTTTTAAACAATTGAATAAAAACTTTTCAGTAATAGATGAAGAATAGCGATGTTTCCAACAGATGCAACCATGCTCATTTACTATAGCAGTCATCTTGTTTAAGTTTTATTTTGTTAAACTTATAGCGGAAGATTCAGGGGAAGCCACTCTATTTTACAATTGGCTGCTGTTAGCAAATCTTGCTCTCAAACACTGCTGTTTAAAGTTACTTTCTGGCCTATATATATTGATATATTTAGCCATTGATTTTGGTTTATTGTTCAGTTATCAATAATATTTGTTACACATATTTCACAATATACTTCTATTAAAGCCTTGACAATGAGGTAACTTTTTCGTACATTACTAGCCGCGGCCGATTTTACGTACCTAAAGCAATAGATTACCATATTGGCATATCATAATGGATATGGGCTTTATTATTATAAATTTAATAAAAGCTTGTTAAAACTTTGATACTTTTTAGGCCTATTACTATTAGTATTATAGGCCTAATTAATTAATAATTATTAGTATTAGTTTCTACTTCAGTTTCTAGAACCATCTCTTTGATAATTTGATTTCTTTAATTGAGAGCAGATCTCAGAACTAGATTTTTATGAGTTAAGTTATAAGTGATTACCACTCCCGTCTAGAGTCTAGAGTTAGATTTCTAGATCTAGATCTAGATCTAGTTAAACTTTATTTCTAGTCGAGCTAAACAGCTAAACAAGGATTGGGAACTGAACAACCAAGGCCAGACCCATGATCATGATGTAAAATAAAAAAAATCATATTAAAATGGCTTAGGCCTAAAGTTAGGCCTAAGCCTTACTAATTAATTAGAAATCTAATAGTACACGACAATACATCGTTTAGACAATCGCTATAAAACAACTGAACAACAAATTCATATTGTATAGACCTACCAGTTTCGTTCAAGTATTCTACACAAATTTTGTTTTACTATCTGCCTACATATAACCGAGTTCGCCATTTTAACCCTGTTGGATACTCTTTTTGCCCGTAGACTCTTAGAGGCTTACACAAAGTTACAGATAAATAATAGAAGGAGCATTCATTTATAAAATAATTAAGAAAAATATATAAAAATGTATGTGAGTCATTAGGAGGTACTCATTTATTTTTTTCTAATAAAATTAAAAAATATTTAAAAACATAAATATATACTATTGATCATTATATTTTCAATGTACGTTGTTTCAATTTATTAAATTATTTTAAAAAGAGGTAAATAAGTACTCATCTAAAATTAGAAGATGGTAAAGTAGAGTGGAAACCCCTTTGCTTATTCTAAACATCGTTTAGATCTAAATATCTATGCATTTTTTATCCTCTATCGATATTTTAAAATGATGTTGTAACAAAAATACATATGCAAGTGAACTACATTTGAAATGTGTACTGTTTACTCTACATTATCATAAATTAGGACACAAAAACATTTAATTAATAAATAAAAAAGTTATCAAATTTTCGAAACTTTATTAATACGTGGTCGGCAGGGGAGGCTATGTGTAAACAACATGGTGATTATTTTATGTTGATGCGGTACAGTGATTGGTTTCATCCTAGAAAAATAATAAATATTACTGTAGGGAAGGATCTTAATATTAGCAGAATCCTGCTAAATCAATACGTGCTACTTGCTTGTGAGTGCGAAATAGAAGGTTAGTTTATATTCACGAATAACTGGTTTGTGATTTACAAAAGATAATTTTTGTGTATTTTTTTTTGAGAATACGCGGGTGAGAGGGAGACTTGGAGAGTCAGAGTACTCAGTACTCACTGTCTACTAATCTAGATTTCTAGATCTAATCAAGTGTCTAGTCTAGAAATAGAATAGTCTAGATTCTAGATCTAGAGGCCTAGATCTAGAATCTAGCTCTAGATCTAGAGATCTAATAGTAATTAGTGAGTAATAAGGGTAATCTAATCTATCGTTTTGGGTACGTAAAATCGTCCGCGGCTAGTAATGTACGAAAAAGTTACCTCATTGTCAAGGCTTTAATAGAAGTATATTGTGATATGTTTGTATCAAATATTGTAGATATTTGTAGATAATGAATAATAAACCTAAATCAATGGCTAAATATATAAATATGGGCCAGAAATTAACTTAAAACAGCAGTGTTTGCAAGCAAGATTTGCTATATAAACAGCAGCCATTTGTAAAATAGAGTGGCTTCCCCCTGAATCTAGCACTATAAGTTTAGAAAAAAACTTAAACAAGATGGCTGTTATAGTAAATGAGCATGGTTGCCTCTGTTGGAAACATCGCTGGTGTTCATTTATTACTGAAAATTTTTAATTCAATTGTTTAAAAACAGGTACATAAATGAAACAAGGACACATTTTTGTATTTTTCAAAACAAATCCTCCTCAAAATGTGAAATAATTATTAAAATTTAAGGAGTCACCTGTTTTTCACATTACTAGTCGCGGGCAATTTTACGTACCCAAAATGATAGATTACCGTAATAAGTATGTAGTGGTAAGTTAGTTGTTAAGTTGTATCTATTTTAAAGTAACTTTTTAGTATTTGTATTTAAAGTAGATCTAGAACTAGATCAAGTCTATACTAGAGTCCATATCAAGACTATATCTACTCTAGAATCTAGTAACTTTACTGTAGTAGTAGATCTAGTAGTAACTTACTTTACTTTTTGTTGTCACTTTCATTGTTTAGGCCAAACTTTTAGTTAAGCTTTAGACCTTTTAGGGCTAACTGTTTTATTTACAATATTTATTATTTTAGGTAGGCCTATAGCACCTACTACTAAGTAATAGTATAGTAATAGTACTTAGCACTAAATCTAGCACAATATATACTAGAGTTTCTAGACTCACTAAAGTTAAAGTTATAAATTAGAATTAGATCTAATGAAAAATATTAAATAATAAGGTTCAACAACACATTAAACATAATTCATTAGGAAGTATAGGCCTACTTCCCTAAGTACTTAGGGAAGTAGGCCTATACTCTATAGATTTTAGACATTTTAGTAGAGTTTTAGATCTAAAGTTTTAATTGATAACTGATGTCCAACAATAGATACAATAGGCCTAGACTACTAAAGTTGTGATAGGTTGTTACCAAAACGCTTGCTGGTAGTTTATCAGTCATCTGTCTCCATATTGTCTCACAATGCCATCCCAGTTTTCTTTTCCCTTGTAGGGTCCAGTCAAGGGAGGTTGCTGGAATTTTATCTTCTTACTACTTCATTTTATTACATTGTCCACCCAACTGCATCTTTTTTTTTATTCCTTCTGAAAAATCATTCATTTCCATTTCTCCTAGATATAGTATGATACAGTAACTTACTGTTTAAGACTACTGTTTTGCCAGTGAATGCCTAATATACTTTACAGTCACTTAGTTTGGAAGGAATCCCATGATAGGATATTAGAAGTGGTTACTTTCACGCATTCACTGCCATGTAGAAATTCACTTATTACATTGCTTATGGAAAATCTTCATTTTGTCTTAGCAAATTTCTTTGATATCAATGTTTTCTGCACCGCTGATAAAGCTTGCTTTGCTTTTTTTTTCAATTTCAGTAACACAGTCACCTTTCATTTATAATTAAGCCTTCTATGCTAAGTAAATGAAATCTATTTTTTCATTTAGTTGTATGTTATATTTTGTAGTGGGTTCTCTGTTAGTTGCATTCTTTAGGCTAAATTGATAAATAATGAACTTGGGACAGATGCCAAAGCATGAGTGGGCATGGCACTGAACACAGAGAAATAACACAACTAGGAGATTTTTAGTATTTTTTCTTCTTTTCCATTTTTTTCTGTTAACATGTTTATTTTATAGAAGTGCAAATGGTAGCTTTGGCCTTATACACATTTCTTTCAAGTTATACACTCTATCCTGTCATGTTTTAATGAATGTCTGTGCAAATATAAGTTTAGGTATAAACAAACCTTAGGATCAGACTGAAATCCTACCTATTGTAGTTTTGTAGGTATGATGCATACATTCTATCATTTCTATTTTCTAAAAATACTTTAGTATATTGAAACAAATGTTTCAAATACATAAACCCTTATTATAGTACATCTTTGTTGAAGCTTAGCAAACAGTTTTGTTTTTAAAGTGTGATAATGCATCATGCATAAATCATAATACCAGTGTTCATGTTTTCACCAGGAAGCTTTCGACAAATTATGCATGTTTTGTACATAACTAGAGCAGATTTTGTTTGCAATTGGCAAGTTAATCTTTTTTATTTGTTTAAATGTCTTATTTGTAATCAGCTATAATTTATCGATATGAGCAGTTTGATATGATTACAAACACAATTTGACTCTATTGAATTATGTCTTTATCAGCTGAAATAATTGCAAGGTGCAAACATTAATAAATTAACAATGAAAATTAACTAACAAAAATCAAGTAAAAAATTTTATGAACAAAAAGAAAAATTAATACATTTGTTTCACATGTTCATAAAGAGTTGTTGTTTTAAATCAACTTACAACCATAGTGTTGTAAAAAATTTTTTTTTTTTTAATTGCAAGATCAAATGATTGGAGTATTTTATTAACCAGTTACATTTATATAATTTTATTATTACACAATAAAAAACTTGATTCTGTTTTCCCCGGTCCATCCATCCAATCCTACATCAACTGGGCAAGAACCACCCATGTTTAGGAGAAGGTAAAGATTTATGAAGTGGTCTCCCTTGTGACAAGCGGGCTTGTGTTATTCACCCCTTAGTTGAAACAAAAGCCTGGATTACCTCCGTTTTACTACTGTGTTCACATGCCGTTTTCTAATTTTTATTTATTTTATTTCTTCTTCTTCCTTTGTTCTTAAATGCATTATAGGTTATGATTAATAATTACTCCAACGCTTTTGAGTATTTCGTGGTATGAGCTAAATGGCCCGTAGACTGTGATTTTAGTGTTCTTTTCTGCTTCCATAGCTTTTGTCCTACCTAGTACAAGCTACAAGGTAGCACTTGTTTGATTAGAGGGGTGGCTGTCCCTAGCTAACGAGCCTCATCTGCCTGGAGTCCGAACTCGGGACTTTTGGAGTTGGCAATTTGCGCTCATTCACGACCACGCCAAGCTAATATATAACCTTCATGTAAATGTTCTTATGCTGCGATGAAAAAAAAATGACATATAATACAAAATTTATATTATTTTTATTGTGATGCACGGCTGATCCATCTCCCCCCCTCTCTACAACATTCCACATTCACCAGCCAATACATTTCGATTTTTTTCTAACGCTGTGTGATGTCTGGGTAACCAGCCGCACCAAACCCCCCAGCACCAAAATATGCCTAATGCCAAGCCTCCCAGGGAAACTAAAGCTAACTAAATGGTCTTGGAATGTTACCAAGCGCTATTGATTTCTCGGGGACGCTTGATCAATTTGCGGTGCCGTTCCGTGTTTTTTTCCGTTTCACCCTTGTATTTGCAACTGCCTCACCCCCCCCCCCCCCCCCCCCCCCCACCTTCTCAGTGTTAACACTACCGATCTCAAGTTTAGCTAAATATTAGTTTAAAATTTTAAAAAAGTTCGATACGTAATTCTCGTTAATTTCCCTAGTCGATTAAAATAACATTTTAATGTTGCCAAAACGAGAAGCATTACTAAAAGAAAAGAGTGCCTGTTCATAGGGATTGAAGGTTTTTTTTTCTTAGGTTCAGACCAATATTTCGTGTGTGAGCAGTCATTGATCAGGATCCACCGTCCCTACCCCATGAGACAATCTCTCTACTAAATCACTGAGACAAATCGATCCCTTACCCCAGCCCTAACTCCAATCTTATTAACCCTAACTCGAATCGATACAATCTACCAAAAATCAAATAAACCCCATTTCTCATAGACACAGGTATTCGTTAAGTATATCACTGTTTGGAAAAAAACAATTTCTTCCAGGCATCTCTTCGTGGGGAAGGGGGGGGGGGGCGAAGAAAGTATACCGCCCCCCCCCCCTTTGAAGAAACACTGGTTTAAGGCCTTCATAGAAACTTATTTGGCAATGCTATATTCAGCTACTTTTCCATATTCATACCCTACTGTTTATTACCATACCAGTACTTAAGCTAAATAAATCAGTGTTATTTTTAAGGCGAACAGTATACACATTTAACGATTGCAGAAACCTACTGATACTTTCCTATTAAATACTCGACCGCCGGTCCCACAGTAACAGCACATCAGAGTCAGTCAAGTACAGGCATATCAATACTTATAAGTGTTATCGATTAGAGCGTTAGAGTTAGAGCTATGGGTTGGGTTTAGGATCGATATGATTCCTAGTAAGCTTTGTCCACATGGATAATAAAAAATACTCTTCAATTTTTTTTGTGTAACTGGTTTGTGTCTGGCTGTATCTTCAACTCTTACCTAGAGCTATGAGCTCACGACATTCTATCTCTTTGAGAACGGCTTTTTCTGAGATATTAAATCTTACCCGGAAGCTGTATTCATTTTTTTTTTACTTCCAAAGCATCTGATTGAGATTAATCTTTGTAATAAGTATCTTTTTTTGTAACCAGGCAATAAAAATATTTATATCGTCTACACAAAAACAAAAATCCTCTCTGCTGGAGGCCGACATAAAGGTTAACTACCATCTTTTTTATGTCGTCAAATCTGATTTACCCAAGATGGAATAAACAACACCCGCTCCCC